CAGGTGGGGGGCAAGGGAGGGCTCCACTCCACAGACCCACTCAGGAAATCTGTGTTTCCTCCCTACGACTTTGGCTTCTCTGGGTCTAGAGGGGATGAGAGAGCTCCACTGGACTGACCTGTGGCTGTGGCCTCATCACACTTATTCTTCCTCAGGGGACACCTGCAGGCAAGAAGCTGAGCCATCACGTCAACAGGAGGTGGCAGACAGAAGGGGGCATTGCGCACCTGGGTAACTGGGTGGTAAACGGGGTTCAGCTCCCTGGGGAGGAGGGGCTGGACAGCTCCCGCACACGCCCTCAGTAGACCCTCTGCATGAAGTCCCCAGACCTGACACCCTCTTCCCCACGCTCTAGGTCCTCTTCCCTGTTCCACATACCCTCCTGGGAAGTCACTCCCACCTCCTCCCTGTCCACGCTGTTACCTAGTTACCGAGGCCTGATGCCTGCACTGCCCCTTCTCCTGGGGGCTGCAACACTCTTCACAGTCTCCACATGTTCCCTCCTGTCCCACCCCACAGCACCATTCAGCCACCCACCCCCATGCTGTGCCCCCCACACCATGCCCACTGCTTTCCTTTGGCCTTGTACTTGCCCTCAGTCCACCCACTTCCCTCTCTGCCTGCAGTTGCCTGCAGCTGCTTTTGCTGACACTCCTCACCTGGCTGCGTAACTGGTAGAAACCCAGGGCAACATCCCTATATCCTAATCCATCTCTTTGTAGCTGCATCAAAACCAGAATCAACTATGCTAGGCCATGAGCTCTGTGGAAGGATGGCGCCTCTCTACTCCACGGGAAGGGATCCATGTCAAGCCTCTAGACATCTGACCTCAGACATCCTACCTGGTTCTGGGGTGAGGGACAGGGAACAGAAAATACAAGACCCAGAGGAGCCACATCTCTCCAGGCTACAGCCTAGACTGGAGCTGGGAGCTGCAGCTCTTAGGTGAAGGGCCATCCAGGTCATACCTGCAGGCCAGAGGTAGGCAGTTGCTGGGAACCCCCCTTCACCGGTCAGCAGTCTGGCCTTGCAGCTAGAGAGAGCTCTAACAGAGGTAGCCCTAGCTTGCCCTGAGCCCCACAGCTAGCTTCCTTCCTCCCTCTCCAGGGCCATGCCCCACACAGGCTGGCCTGTACAAGGGCCACTAAGGCCACCAGTCCCCGCTCAGAACATTCATACAGAACATTCATACACCTGCCCCTCCTGTGAGGATGCTGCCGTCATCCACTTAGGGCTGCTCTCCCATTGGGGAAACGAATGCACCTTCCTCCCACCCCCCTACCACAGCCACCCAGCTATCATGGGGCTGCAGATCTGATCCCTTCAGGTACCTACCAGGGCTGTAAGGCCAGAAGAGGACAGGCAGCTCAGAGCTTGGGCCCTGCCTCAATGGCCAGGACTTTCGCATCTGGAACCAGTACTCCTACTGCCGTTATTTTTCAGGGGAGGAGCAGCAGGCTAGGACCAGACTGCTCATCTACACACAAGTCTCCTCCCAAAGCCCAGCCTAGAAACCACAACCTCCAGGGGAGCTGCCATTACTCCTCTAGAAAACAGCTGCTAAAATCTATCAACCACCTTACAAACCTTCAAACCTAGAAGCGAGCAACATCCCTTGTAAAAATCTAGATCAGGGGTGAGCAAGCTAAGGCCCACAGGCCAAATCAGCCAAATTCAACTCGAGACATGATTCAGCAAATATAGTTTTACTGCCACGTGGACACACCCACCCACTTACATTTTGTCTGTGGCTGCTTCCTTGTTACAAGGTGGCACCGACAGAGACAGTGTGGCCTGAAAAACCCAAAATATTTACTATCTTACTATCTAGTCCTTTATGGAAGTTGCTCTAAGCTAAGTCACATTGACAAAAAACAAAAAACAAAAAGCAAAACAAAACAAAAAAAGAAACAAAATCTGTGTACAAATATATTCAGTTGTTACAAGTTATCTAAAAAGTACACTGGTGGGCAGCCCGATGGCTCAGCGGTTTGGTGCTGCCTTTAGCCCAGGGCCTGATCCTGGAAACCCGGGATAGAGTTCCGCATCCGGCTCCCTGAGTGGAGCCTGCTTCTCCCTCTGCCTGTGTCTCTGCCTCTCTCATGAATAAATAAATAAAATCTTTTTTTTAATTACACTGGTAAATTTATATGATAAAATATTCTGTACATTGTTTGTTCAGTTACTGATAAACTGGAAAAAATATTTATTGTGCTGAATAGAAAATGGAGAGTAGAATAACCTGGAAAGCATGATCTCCACACACAGAGAAAGAGAGAAGAAAGAAAGAAAGGAAAAGCTCAGAGAGAAAGATGTCAAAATAGTGACTGGTATGGTCCCTGGGTGGGAGGATCACAGGTGATTTTTTTTCTTTACTTTTCTACTGCTTTCCCAAATTTGTAAAACAAGCACAAACTACTATACCTTGATCACCATAAAGTAAGAACTTCCCGTGAGCATCTCCTTCCACCTTCCTCCTTCCCTCCCTCCATGTCTCCTCCTCTGCACCTCCTCACACAGCAGCAGGTGTGGAAATGAAGGGCACAGAGGGCTTCTCATTGGAGGGGGAGGTCACAGCCCAGAACGCTGTCCAGCTGGTGCTTCAGCCAAGAATGCCTGTCCCCTTCTCCTCAGTGAGGGGAGGCCTGACCTCACTGTCCCTGGGAAGCCGTGCTCACCAGTGTGGAGCCCAAGCAAGTGAACCACACTGCACTACGTGACCACCTTGCCCTCCACCAGGGGCTCCTTGGAGGTTGGCATCCCCGTGGACCCCGGAGCACATGCCAATGGCTGGAACCAACTGTTTGATGAACCAAATGGGGAAAAAGGCTGATTTAAAACATTGGAGTTAGGGGGAGCCTGGGTGGCTCAGTTGGTTGAGTGTCCAACTCTTTTCTTTTTTTTAAGATTTTATTTATTTATTCATGAGACACACACACACACACACACACACAGAGAGAGAGAGGCAGAGACACAGGCAGAGGGAGAACCAGGCTCCCTGTGGGGAGCCCAATGTGGGACTCGATCCCAGGTCTCCAGGATCATGCCCTGCGCTGAAGGCAGAGCTAAACCGCTGAGCCACCTGGGCTGCCCTAAAATAAATCTTTAAAAAATTCTGGGAGGGATCCCTGGATGGCTCAGCAGTTGGGCGCCTGGCTTCAGCCCAGGGCATGATCCTAGAGTCCCGGGATCAAGTCCCTCATTGGGCTCCCTGCATGGAGCCTGTTTCTCCCTCTGCCTGTGTCTCTGCCCACCCCCCCTGTGTCTTTCATGAATAAATTGTAAAAAATCTTTTAAAAACAAAACAAAAAAATCTGGGAAGTGGGGCTTCTAAGAAAGCAGAGAAGAGAAATTTGGAAAGAGGATCCTCAAAGTATGCAGACCCCATGTTTTCTCCCTCAGAGAAGCCCTTGGTGCCCTCTGACTCCCCCAGCCAGCTCCCAGAGGAGTCCTTGCAGGCTCCCATGGCCTCCCATCCTGCAGGTGTGGCTCCAGGAGGCAGCACATCCCTACAGATCCCGAAGCTCATGGATCTCCCCAAATCCAACAGATAAGTGTTATTCACTGCTCAGCAGATTCTTTCTGGTGTTCCCAGCCACTTCCCTCGGGGACCCTGTCGCCCTGGGCTCAGGGCATAGACCTCCAGCCCTGTCTCGGCTTTCTTTCTGCCACAGAGTGACTCCTTTTGTCTCCTGCACAGGTTCCAAGCTCACTCTACCACTCTCCCCTCATTCCCTTCTCTCCCACTTGGGGTCACCCCTGTTTCTCCCAGCAGGTACCCTGTAACACAGATGGCACCTACACTTCTACCCAGCTCAGACTCAGGCCCAGACCTTCTGTCCATGGACTCAACTGATGCCTCCACTGGACACAGGCCCAGGTCCCTCCAGTCCAACAGGCCTAGAATTATCCTTAGAAGCACGCTGTCTGCACGGCAGGCTTCCCCTCCAACCAACAACCCAGGAACCAGCCTCCTGAACCCCTAAACCTCACCCTAGCCCACCACCAACGCCCTGCTCTCCCCTCCCCATCCCTCAAGCCTCTCAGTATCACCCCTGGCTGAGGATGATCCTATCTCCCCCAGGAGGTGTCTTACCCTCCCTTCTAGATACAGCCCAACCCCGCAATGCTTTTGTCCACACTGCAACTGGGGAGCTTTCAAAATACAAATCTGCTCACCTCATGCCACAGCCTGCCCCTCCCTGGCTTTAGAGACCCCAGGACTCCTGCCACTTCTAAGGTAACAAGCATAACCCTGTGCACAGAACTCCAGCCTTGCACCACTGCTCTCTGCATCCAGCCCCTTCTGGGTCCACATCTGTCGCTACTCTGCCGTTCTCCCCACCCAACCCCATTAACTCGCCCTTCAGAGCCCCTGCCTGAGGCCAAGCCTCCTGGCCTCTCAACCAGCTCAGAGCTCCTCATGTCCCTCTCAGAACCCGTGTCACAGCTCATACTTAATCTTTTCATCTGTAAGATCCCTTGGCCCATGTTGGCTACTCTCACCAGCAAGAGACCAGGTGAGCATAGGGCCTGGCATTAGGGAGGACCTGAGGCCTGCCGACTGAATGTAGGGGCAGCACAATGCCCGGTGTAGGGGTGTCGCTCAACACAACCTCCAGAAAGGACAGTAGTGTGAACAAAGCACAAAGGATGAGGCTGGCTGAGGACGGAGGGGAGCGGAATACACAAACTGGAGCCCAGGGGCGCTAGCATGGGGCTTAACTTGAACCCCTAATAGGGTCCCAATACCCTGGTACTGAGGGGGTGTAGGGGCTTCCAGATGCAGGTGTGAAGCAGAAAGTGTGAGGACAGCTGAGGTAGGCAGAGGGGGTTCAAAACATCCCCGACTTTAGTGCTTTTCTGCCCCACAAGCATCACCGAGCCCGCCAGGTACAGCCCAGGCCATGCGCTCCTCAGCACCAGAGCCCCGCACAGAGCCGGGCACATCTCGGTCCCTACTATAGGCACTTACCCAAGGCTCAGGGCCAGCTGCTTACCTTGCATATCGTGCCCAGCAGAGCTCCATCCCGGCTCCAGACGGCAGCCTGCACTAGGTCCCCATGGGCCGCCAGCTCTGTAGAGAAGCAGCCAAGGTCAGGAGGGGGTCCAGGGTCTCCCCACCCTATCCTGGGCAGTGGGGGCACCAGGGAAATGGGCGCAGGAAGGCCCGGCTTGGGGTAATGCCCAGGACAGTGGCAGTAGCTGCAAGTGTCTGTCTCTGGCAGGAGGACCAAGGGCAGCGTCTCCTTCCAGACATGCTGCGCTACAGCTGGACTCCTTCCTTTAGCCCTGCCTTCATCAGGCCATGCTTCTACTCAAGTCTTCTGAGGCTCCCTGCTCCTTGCTCAGTCTGGCTCTCACTTCCCACCCAGGCTTACCCCCAGTCACTCACCAACACACCTCAACTGAGTCACACCAGTCCATGGCTGAGCCACACACATTCCCGCCATAGGCCTCTGCAAGGGCCATCCCTGCTCCTCCCCCAGTGTGACAGTTTTAAAACATGTCCACGGGGCACCTGGGTGGCTCAGTCTGTGAAGCATCTGCCTTTGGCTCAGGTCATGATCCCAGGGTGCTGGGATTGAGTCTCACGTCAGGTTCCCTGCTCAGCGGGGAACCTGCTTCCCCCTCTGCCTCTAACTCTTTTTCTCTCATGAGTTAAAAAACAAACAAACAAAAATTAAAAAAAAAAAAAACACGTTCACAAATTATTTGATGCTAATCCTATTATAGGTTGAATTGTCTCTCTGCAAAAAAAAAAAAAAAAAAAAAGAATTGTCTCTCTGCAAAAAAGTTGCTGGGATGCGTGGCCGGCAATGTCGGAAAAGCATGTGACTTCTTGATCTTGGGGTCGTGAGTTTGAGCCCCACAATGGGAATAGAGATTACTTAAAAATAAATAAACTTAAAAACAAAAAGATGCTGTCATCTTAATCCTCAGCACCCATTCTGTAACATTATTTGGAAATAAGGTCTTTGTAGATCAACTTAAGCTGATACAGTTAGGGTGGGTCCTAGCCAAGTAGGACTAGTCCTTATGAAAAGGGAAGTTCAGACACAGAGTCAGATGTGCAAAGAAAATAGACGATGTGAAGACACGAAGAAGACACCATGTACAAGCCAAGGGACGCCTGGGACTTCAGGAGTGAGGAGCGAGACCTGGAACAGGCTCCCTCAAGTCCCTCAGAAGGTCCCAGCTCCATCCCAACACCTGGTTTCAGACTTCTGATCTCCAGACTGTGAGACAGCAAGTTTCTGTTATTTGAAGCCATGGAGCTTGTGGTGCTTCATTACAGCAGCCCTAGGGATCTAATGCACAGAATGCAGAGCCTAACTCACCTCCTCTTGAGTGTGAGAACTGAGTAACTTGTTTCTAACAGAGTCTGGTGTAAGTGGGGGCATGTGACTTCCAACGTTGGGCCAGAAAAGTCACTGCCCTTCCTCCCTGCTCCCTCCCCTGTGGATGGTCCAGGGAGGCAGACAGAGGCCAAGTTGTGGGGGGATGGGGGCACTCAGGCAGAGGCCCCATGCAGGGACTGAGGCATGTCTGTGTCTGCCAACCCTTTGAGAAGCTGAGCCTCCTGCCCCAGTCAAGTCTTCAGGTGAGGAAGCAGCCTCACAACACCGAGCCAGAACCACTCAGCTACGCAGCTCCCAAATCTCTGACCCTCAGAAGTGATGATGTGATAAATGCTCATAATTGTTTTAAGCCTCTACGTTCTGTAATACTCTGCTCCACAGCAGCAGATGACCACTTTGCCCAGGCTTACAAGCCTAGGATTCACCCCAGCCCTGTGCCCACCTGCTCTGCAGCCAGGGCCCAATGGTTTAACCTCATCTGTGACAGGAGAATGGCAGGGCTGCCCAGTGGAACTGGTATGCTGAGGGGGGCAGCATGCCCTCAGCACAGTGCCAGGCCTGAGAGGGCTTGAGACACAGCAGTTACAGCTGGGTGACCACCTAATGACAGGTGACCTTCACCTCTGCTGGAAAGCTCAGGCCAGTCTCCTTGAAGGCACCAGGAGCTCTCTGTGGGTAGTTCACACTACTGAAGGCCCTCGGTTGGCCTCTTGGTCCCAGCCCCAGAGGTGGGGACCTCACCTCGGTGAGCCTGGCCCACCCTGGATGTTCCGGATGGCCCTATGAGACAAGGTCATGCTTCAACTCTTGGAGCCTCGTGTTTTAGCCCTAAAAATCAGGTGAACGTGTCAGGGCCTTGGTAGAAAAGACCCTGTGACGTCACCACAGAACATCAGGGCTCCACGTGGGTCACAGGGTCATAACCATTCACTGAGGAATCTGACCCAAAGCTGTCACCATCTATGTGTGGTCTGAATGTCTGTGCCCCCCACATGTTGAAGCCTCACTCCCACTGTGATGGTGTCTAGAGGCAGGGTCTCTGGGAGGTGATTAGGTCATGATGTTGAAGCCTCAGGACGCTGATCAGGCCCAGAGAGCTCCCTTGTCCCTCCTGCCACGTGAGGACACAGCGCCAGGACAGCCATCTGTGACCCGGGAAGGAGGCTGTCACCAAGCACTAAATCTGCCGGCACCCTGACCTTGGAGGTCCAGGCTTCCGAACCACGAGCAATGAATTCCTATTGTTTGTAAGCCCCCCAGATGTGGGCATGGGTTGGAGCAGCCAGACTTGGAACATGCTAAGACAGACTCAGTCATGAAAATGACAGGAGAAGCCTGGGGGAGGGGCTGCAAGAGAGCAAAATCCTCGTCTGGCAGAAAGGCAGCCAGAAGTTTGTTTTCAAAACCGAAGTGACATACAACTCAAGAAATAACAGTATAAGGAAGGTACTTAGACATACGGAGGAAAAACAACTTCACGAAACGACAACAGATGCCTACAGGAAGTGGGCAGGGATGCAGCATCTGTAGTCAGTTAAGCTAGAATCTTACAACCTTTCATACCACGTACACGTAAGACTTGAACGCGTGTTTTAAAATTCACATTATGGAAAACACAAAGAAAAGGAGCGCCATCCAGACGGGGGCTGCCCAGGGAGGGGTGGCCAGTGCAGCCTGTACCTGTGAGGGCCTGCTGTTTGGCTACATCCCAGACCTTCACGGCCATGCCCGCTGCACTCGCCAGGACACCGTCCGCAGTGGGATGGAAGTGCAGCACCTCCACCTGGACCAGCTCAGGGCCCAGCACCAGCCCGGGCACCGAGGGCAGTTCCTGGCCAGAGGCGGGCAGTCGCCACAGTTTCACCTATGGGGAAAAAGCAAGGCCGTGAGCCCTGGGCTGCCCCAGCCCCAGGGGTTGTACTTGGGCATGGGGGCTGTGTATTCTGCATGAGGAAAGGCAGGGTAATGCAGCCCAGGATTGAGGGGTGTAATTAGGGTGGGGGGGGAGCGCAGCCACAGGATGGGAGCTCTGCTCCATCTCCTCCAGCATCCCACACCACCCCAGCCCTGCTCTCTGCAGGCAGCCAAACAGTAGAACAGCAAGTCTGGACCACAGGGGAGCCAGTGTGGGCCGAGGAACAGAGAATCTGCGCTAGCCTGGCTTTGGAGGCCTGGGGTGGAGGGCAGTGGGAGGGACACTGAGCAGCTCGTCCAGCAGCTCCACTCACCGTCCTGTCGGCTGAGCCTGTGGCCAGGAGGAAGTCATCAAAGGGAGAGAAGTCCAAGTCCGTGACCAGGTCTGTGGGAGAGGAACAGCTGACACAAGCCTGGCAAGAACTCACCAGAACTTTGTTTTCCAGCCCAATATCCTATCTCCCCAAGGTGCAGAACCACAGCCCAGGGTTTCAGAGGTGGGGATAACTGCCTACACAGTGGCAGGCTGAAAGTCCACAAGGAAAGGCACTTTTGGAAATCCCTGCCTGTGACACACAAAGGCCCTGGCATCGGGAGGTCAGCACAGTGAGAGGCAGGAAGCTCCTCAAATTACCAAGCACCTGAATTTGCCCAAAATCCAGAGCCCAATGCAGGGCCTGGCATGCAATGTGTGAATGAATGCAAGTGCCAGGCCTGCTCTGGACCCATGAAGGATTCACAAACTGGACAAATGCCACCCAGCCCTAACAGATCCTCAGCACCCACATAAGGAGACACACACACACACACACACAGACATCTCTGCAGATGTGGCAAGAGGTAGGCTGACCATGAGGACTCCAAGGTCAGGGCTCAGGGCAGCTTCATAGAGGAAGCATGGTGAGCCCTGGGGAGTATGAAGGACTAGAACAGGTTAGGACAACAGGGAAGCAGGCGTTTGGGTGACACAGCCAAGCTAGGAGTTCTCTGCCCCTCAAATCCCCACCAGGACTGACACTCAGGCCTGAGTGTACCTGACCCCTGCCTTAGGGGGAATTCTCTCTTAGGGGAATTAAAGAAGGAATTGGAGGTGCCTAGTGACACGGCGCCTCAGGGACTGGCCTGGGTGGAGGGCAGCCAGCTGGGAGGAAGCCGTCAGCTCCCATGCCAGGACCCTCCTAAGGCCTGCATGTCCAGCTGCTCCTTTGGATTTGGAAACTCCCCAGGCCTTCAGCTCTGGAAGCTCTCCTATAAATCCCCTTTTGGCTAAAGACAGCTGGACTTGGTCTCAGTTCTTCACAACCCAAGAATCTGAACTGCTCAGCTCTGGAAGGCCAGGAGAGGGAGACAAGGGCACACAGAGTGAGCCACAGCCTCTAGAAAGAGGAAACCTGTTTCCTGAAACCACCAGGGGGTGAAGGAGGTCAGGGCTCAGTGTGGGGGGTGGCAGGGAGTTGTGAGCATGATGGCCAGGCTTACATCACCAGAGCAAGGAGCATAGTGATTATCCCTGCTGCCTGCCTCCTCAGAGGGGGTCAAGCAGGTATATTTTCCTCTCAGGGCAGAACTGGACTCTGGCCATCCTGGAGAGAAGAGAAGAGAGGAGAGGAGAGGAGAGGAGAGGAGAGGAGAGGAGAGGAGAGGAGAGGAGAGAGAAGAGAAGAGAAGAGAAGAGAAGAGAAGAGAAGAGAAGAGAAGAGAAGAGAAGAGAAGAGAAGAGGCAGATGAAGACAGGCATGCCCTGGGACAGCCCTGACCTGGACTCCTGGAGCCCCTGCCATCCTGCCTGTAGGCTGTACATGGGACTGAATCTCAAACCATTATGCTAAGTGAAAGATGCCAGATTTGAAAGACTATGTGTAGTATAATTCCATTTCTGCAAAATGTCCAGAAATGGCCAGGCAATGGATCAGAAGCTGGCAAACATTTTCTGTGAAGAGTGAGACAGTAAGTACTTTAGGGTTTAATGGCCATACGGTTTCTGTCACAACTCTTTGACTGTAGTTGCTGGGAGAAAGCAGTCACAGGCTGAATGTCAATGAAGAAGCGTGGCTGTGCCTCCAAAATGCCATTTACAAAGACAGGCAGCAGGCCAGATTTGGCCATGACAGTAGCTTGCAGACCCTGGCAGCAGAGGCAGAAAGTAGATCAACGGGTGCCTGAGGCTTTGGTGCCAGAGGTGGAAATGGATTAACTGCAAAGAGGCACAAGGATCCTCTGAGGAAACGTTCTAAAATTGGGTTGTGGATACCCAACTCTGTAACTTCCCTAAGAGTCATCAAATTCTTCACTTAAAACAAGTCTGCTAACGGTTCATAAACCATGCCTCAATAAACTTGTAAAAGGCTTTAAGAAAGAATTAGATGAGAAAATACAGACAACATTCTCAGCACATGGAGAGCTCCTGCCCGATGTTCACCATTGTTCCTTTATCAGCTGCTGTTTGCATCACCTGGACCCCAACACTGAGCTGCACACCCAGACAGGGGACCAAGACTCAGCCCCTTCCCTCACCCAAGGCTGCCCAAGAGGTGGCCAGGAATGCAAGCCAGAGGGGCTGGCCCACAGCCACAGCAGCTGGACACGAAGACAGGAGGCAGCTGGGCCCGTGCTGCCGTGGCCCAGGGAGAGCGAGCTGTTCCCACAGAATGGGCAGGCTGCCAGGCAGACTGCCGGGCGCCCCCAGAAGCAGCTGCAGCACACAAAAGCTCTCTTTGTGAGGGCCTGTCTCCAGCCCCAAAGCCCAGCCAGGCCCCCCCTTGAAGACACTAAGCAGCCTGGCTGGAGAGGGGGCCTAGTGGGTGAGGGGTGGTCTGCTGGGGTCTGCAGGGCTGAGAACCGCATAAGGTTGGGTCCTCCACAGTGACAGGGAGCCAGCATCAGCCTGGAGCCTGGTGCTGGCCAGCGCACATCCCCTTCCTCTCACCTGGACAACCTGAAGCACTCAACTTCCCCTCTCTTTGCCCCAGCGGAATTCTCAACCAGGACCCAGCCTTCTAATATGGACAGCATCTGCACGAATGCTCAGTGAGGACAGCAGGAGGAACCTGGCAAACCATGGGGCTGTGGCACCAGGTGCGTACGAATCCCTGCACCCGGGGAGGGAGGAGCAAGTTCTAGATTTCCTCGGTCCAGTCTCCACTCACCCGAATGGCAGCCGAGATAGGTCACCTGTTTCTTGTCCTCTCCTTGGTTCTCCAGAGGCACAATGCCCAGCACACCTGTCAAGCAAACACAGGGGCTCTGACTTCAGTCCTAATGGGAACCGTCTGTTGCCCAGGGCTCCCAGAGGACACAAGACCCAAAAGCTCAGCCTTGGACCTCCCCAGAGTCTCCACCAATCACACAGTGATTGGTCCAAGATTATTTTCTTAACCCATATGAGAATCTTCTGTGACAGAAGATGTATGGAAGATATTAGAGAAAAAGGTGGTCTCTTTTTGGCATAGTGGGTCATATGAGGTCAGCTTAGGACCACCAATTACCATTTTTCCCAGCTTTACTTGAGAAAGGACAGCAGAGTTGAAGGACAGCACACAGCTCAAGGCTGATGGCACATGTGAGCGTCCGGATACAGCTCTGCCTAAAACTTTTGGACTTCTTACTTATACCAGCCAAAGAAGTATCTGAGTTTTGTTTAAGTCCATTTAAGGCCCGATTTATCACTAGCAACCAAAAAAGTCCCAACACACACAGGATGCTTTTCAAATCTTGGTGTTCCTATGGATCCCAGCCAATCCAGACTCCCAGATGAGGACAGCTGAAAACAAAGGGGGCAGTCCTATCCTTGTGTCCTGGCCTCCTCTAAAAACCACAGCCAGGGGTGCCTGGGTGGCTGTCAGTTAAGCGTCTGACTCTCGATATCAGCTCAGGTCATGAGCTCAGGGACCTGGGATTGAGCCTCATGTCAGGCTCCACGCTCAGTGTGGAGCCTTGCTGGAGAGTCTCCCTCTCCCTCTGCCCTTCCCACTCAAGTGGTCTCTCTCTCTCAAGTAAATAAGTACAATTTTTTTTTAAAGATTTTATTTATTTATTCATGAGAGACACACAGAGAGAGAGGCAGAGACACACGCAAAGGGAGAAGCAGGCTCCATGCAGGGAGCCCGACATGGGACTCGATCCCAGGTCTCCAGGATCACGCCCTGGGCTGTAGGCAGTGCTAAATCGCTGAGCCACCCAGGCTGCCCAAATAAGTAAAATCTTTTAAAAACAAACAAACAAAAAAAAAAACCACAGTGTGGTTTATATAAAGTTTCCACACATGCTCGAATTAAAATTAATCTGATTACTGTACAATGATGCCGACCTCTAAGCCCCACGAAGATGCTCCAAGCCTCTGGCCTGCAATGAGCCTGCCCTTCTTCCCCATCCAAATTAGGGTGACAATTTCTGAATCTCCACATCCATGTCCACCTCCCTACCTGGACGGTCAGAGTTAAATGCAATCAAGTGGCAGCTGGATTTGATATGGTTCCCACATGAGGCTGTTGTTCCTGCTTGAATGTCACTGATCCAGGCCTGAAAATAAAGAATAAGAATTGTGACAGCCAGGTCTCTGCCCATAACTAAACCAGGGGCTGGGTTATAATCCAAAGAACTTTACCTTAAGGCTGCACCATTAGAAATCCATTTTTTTTGGATCTAACTCTGTCTCCACTTATGTACTCCCTCAGAATATGCAAAATATTATTAAAATGATAACCTAAGTCATAAGGGGGGGTAATATGACCTATTAAGTCAGTTCTCTGATTTAATAAGGAAGAGATGACTGTCAGAAGAAGCTCAGGATAAATGAAGTCAAGAGGCCACAGGGGTGATTCTGTTAAGAGGGAGAGAGAGAAGCAGAGAAAGCAGAAGTGAGCACGTAAGACAGAAGACAGATTCAGCTTCCTCCAGGGCCTTGCTGAAGCCTCCACCAAATACAGGGGTGTCCTGTAAGCCCCAGAAAAAAAACATTCAACTTCAAATCAAGGACTCTTCACAGCGTCTCACAGAAAGGTGAAGGATGCACCCCTGAGAAAAGGCAATAATGTTAACATCCCCACATACTGAGAGGCAAGGGACCACTTTTTTGAAACTAAGATCAGCAAGATCCAAATGTTTTCTGTTGGTATCAAAGCACTATGTGACACTCCTCCCTGTGGCATGACAACTGAACACCCTTGTTTCCTGGCCCATGCAACCGGGCACCAGAAACCGCCCACCACGTGCAAGTTTCTATTTAAGTGTTCACCTGTGGGGGGTAGAACAATATTATCTTGCATTATTTCATGTTTACTGTACAAATAGAGTGACAGGAAATATCTTTGAAAAGGAGAACAGGGACGCCTGGGTGGCTCAGTGGTTGGGCGTCTGCGTTCGGCTCAGGGCATGACCCCGGGGTCCCGGAATCAAAGCCCACATTGAGCTCCCCGCAGGGAGCCTGCTTCTCCCTCTGCCTATGTCTCTCATGAATGAATAAATAAAATATTTTTTTAAAAAAAGAAAGAAGAAAGAAAGAAAAAAAGAAAGAAAGAAAGAAAGAAAGAAAGAAAGAAAGAAAGAAAGAAAGAAAGAAAGAAAAGGAGAAAAGATCACCTGTGTGTCATTCCCCGCCCCCCTCCCACCTCACTGACCTAAACTGTCTAAAGCTCTATCTGTAATCTCTGGTCTCATGCTTATCTGTTTACCTTGCTGGACTAAGATCCACCTGGGACAAGCCCCAAGGCCCATTGAGTATACCCCAGATCCATTCCAGGAGTGCTTACTACACTCAGAAAGACAGTATTAATGTGAATCTGAGCACCTTCTCCACCCCTTGCTTTGCTTTCAACCTTTTTTTTTTTTTTTAAGATTTATTTAGTTATTCATGAGAGACACAGACTGAGAGAGAGAGACAGAGACATAGGCAGAGGGAGAAGCAGGCTCCATGCAGGAAGCCCGATGTGGGACTCCATCCTGGATCCCGGGATCATGACCCAAGTTGGAGGCAGGTGCCCAACCGCTGAGCCACCCAGGCCGCCCTGCTTTCAACCTTTTAATGGTTCCCCACTGCACTCAAAAAATAACCCAACTTCTTCCTGTGGTCCTCAGGGCTCTGCAGCACTGCTCTGGACTCATCTGACACCCCGCTTCCCCATCTTTGCCCTCCATCCACTCTGGCCCACTTTCTATTCCCCCACCAGGCTCTTTCCCACCCCACTTTTCTTGTAGCTGGCTGCTTCTCACTCTTCTGGCCTCGGCTTAAATATCATCTCCTTCCTACAGCCTTCCCTGACCACTCTATCAAGATTAACTTCCACGTGGCCATTTACCTCCATATCCAGCCCAGCCCTTCTTGTGCATTCACTAAAACTTGTCATGCCCTTGCAGGCCTATCTGCCTGCTGGATGTCTCCCTCACAAGACTGTAAGCAGCCCAGAGGAAAGAAAGCGCTGCGGTGTCCACAGCTGTGGTTTCCGGAGCACACGGAAGTACGGAGGAAATACCGTCCAGAGCATGAAAACAGGGTTTCTGCCCCAGGCTACCCTGCTTGCTGTGCGTTTGCTCCTGATGGGGCTACTGGAGGTCAGTTCCTACGCCTGCCCAATAACATCGGGAGCAGCAGAGCAGGACTGGCAGCATCTCTGAAGCGCACCCGTCCTCAGGCCGGCTGCCCTTGCAGGGGCCCGAGGGGTCCCCCCAACACCTGGCTCAGCTCTAACTCTGGGCCCCGCCTCCTCGGGCCTCCCCAGACCCCACCCGGCCGCAGGCAGCATCACCCCAGTAAGAGAAGAGCAGCTCTTGCGCCAGCCGCGCGAGAAGGAAGCGCCGGCGGAAACCCGAGGGAGGGGCGCGACTCTTTCTGAGGAGCTCTGGCTCTTGGGCTGACACACCCGGACTCGCCAAGGCCAGGGGAGACGGAGGCATCTCTCCCGCAGCCCAGCCTCGGGCAGGGCCGTTCGTGGCGGAGCGGGGGCCCGCAGCGCCCGAGCCCCGGCTCCGCGGCGAGGCCGACCGGAAGCCGGGAAAGCAGGCAGCCTCGCAGGCCTCAGGCCTCCGCCGGGCGGCTGCACCGCTTCGGGGGTCCCGGGGCGAGGCGGGCGAGCCCGCGGGCGGCGGCGCCCACGGAGCGGCCAGAGAGAGCCCCGGCCGCGGGAGCCCCGGACTCTGCCCTCCGAGTGCGCCGAACAGCCGGGCCGCCGGGCCGGGCCTGAAGGGGGCGCCCCGGGGCAGGCGGGCTCCGGGGTACCCGCGCCGAGCCCGGGGGGGAGGGGCAGGGGCGCAGGGACCCACGGGCAGGGCTCACCTCGCGACGGGACGGCCGCGCCTCCGTGTGCCGGAACTTGGACACCTTGAAGCGGCTCATGGCGACGGGGACGACGATGGGTGCAGCTTCGAGGGCCCGGGCGTCGGCTCTCAGGTGCACGGACAGCAGCCGCGACTCCCACCGCCTCCGACCCCACCCGCCCGCGGCCACCCGCGGCCACGCCCGGCCACGCCCCCGGCCAATCGCAGCCCGCTCCGGCCCACCAGGCCCCGCCCCCTACCAATCGCCGCGGGGCCGCCCTGCGAGGCCACGCCCCGAAGCCGGCGAGCTGGCTGCGCGGGCGGGGAGGTCACGTGCGGCGCGCTGTCCGCCTCCGACCCCGTGTGGCGCGCGCGGGCGTTGGGGGCACAGTCCCGGTTTTGGAGTCAGGCGTTTCCCTGAGGAGGCTCTCCGGCGTGCGAGGCGTGGCCTCTTCCGGGCGGAGAGGGAGGCAGAAGTGGACGCGGACCGCGCTCCGGACAGAGGAGCCGCTGGCCGCGGTCACACACACAGCGGGCGGCCCTGGGGGAAGGAAGGGGAGAGGGGAGCTCAGGCCTGATGCGCATCCCTGCCGCGGTGCCCGTCCCCCTCACCCCTCCTGCTTAGGCCAGGTGGGCTCGATGACCGATGACCGCAGTGGGGCCTGCAGCATCCCCGCATTAGGGCATGTCTTGGCTGCAGGCCTTGGGCGCCTTGGGGTAGGAGTGACACCTGCCAGGAAACTAAGTATGATTTACAAATGAATGGAAAGGGAGAAAAGTGAGAGAAATGGAAGATACCTTTATTTTTATTTTTGTTTAAATTTTTATTTATTTATTCATGAGACACAGAGGCAGAGATATAGGCAGAGGGAGACGCAGGCTCTCCGCAGGAGCCTGATGTGGGGACTCGATCCCACAACCCGGGGAAGACAACCTGAGCCAAAGGCAGCAGTTCAACCACTAAGCCACCCAGGTGCCCGTGGAGGATACCTTTAATAGCACTTGTGCCTCACTGTCCGCTGACTTAGGCCCCAAGCAACTCAGGAAGAAAAAACTACAGCTTCATTCCATCTGGGGCCATTCATTCCACAAGCACTTCTCTTCACTTTGAAAATGTACTCCGTGATTCCAGAATAAGCTCTCTGCTTGAGAACAGGCAGCTGAACACCTGCTCAGGCGTGTCTGGAAAAGGGACTTTGATCTGAGGAATGCAAATGACTGCTGCGAAAGTTTCAGAAGCCTGTGGCAGAGGGTAGCCTGGCCCAAGGTACCTGCCCACAGGGTGATTCCGAAGGCTTGCAGTGGTGGAGGGCACCAACGGACCCTCAAATGCAAGTTCTTTTTTTCAGTTTCCACAAGTAAACTGTGAGGTCTGAAAGGCCTCTTCCTATCTGTACCCTACCAAGTGAGTTAAGAGCAATTTTGATCTTCATAAACTAAAAATAGGATGCCAGTGGAGTTGGCTGAGGCCAGGGATTTGGAATTCTAAGCAGTCCGGCAGCCACTGGATACAGAGTTCCCAGGGAGCCTACCCTTCAGACCTTGGAATTCCAGGAGCTTTGGAAAAGGCACCATCAGGGCAGGACTGTGTTGGTCAGAGTGTTCAATTACTGCTAATATTGATTGCTTCTTTAAAAAAAATGTGGTTAAAAAAACATACAATGTTTATCACTTTTAAGTGTATAGTTCAGTAGTGTTAGGGACATTGGCAGTGTTGGACAGCAGATATCCAGAATCTTTTCATGCGATACTGAGACTCTATACCCATCAAACAACAGCTCGTTTCTCCTTCCCACCAGCCCCTGGTAACCACCACTCTACTTCCTGTTAGACTTTTTAAGATTTTAAGTACTCTCTATACTCAATGTGGGACTCGAACTCACAATGCCAAGTCCTGCTCCTCTGACTGAGCCAGCCAGGTGCCCCTAGTTTGATTACTTTAGTTATCTCATGTAAGTGGAGTCGTGCACTATTTGTCCTTTATTTAACATAATGTCCTTAGGTTCATCCATTTGTAGCATGCGACAGTATTTCCCTCCCTTTTTTTTTTTTCTAAAGCCCCACCGATTGTGGGGCTTGAACTCACAACTACAAGATCAAGAGTAGCATGCTCTACTGACTGAGCCAGGTGCCCCCTTTATTATTATTATTATTATTTTTAGGATGTCTTTCCCTAAGTCTAATTATTAAACTACCATATGTACCACATAATATACACCACTAATACATCACATTTTTTTATCCATCGACAGGCATTGGGTTCTCCTGCATCTTGGCTATAGTGAATAATTCGTGGATATGCAACTATCTCTTTAAGGCCCTGCTTTCAGTTCTTTAGGATATATACCCAGAAGTGGGATTACTGGATCATGTAATACTTATATTTTTTTGAGGTTCCTCCATACCAGATATTGCTCTTAAAATTACAATTATTAGTAGTTTAATGCCATCTATTACTATAGATTATTTAACTCTACTGTGTGCAGTAATCTCTTTTTGCATCAACAGTATTTGACTTATAACCTCCCAGGAGGGGACACTCAGGCATTTTGCATTGTGGTTCAAATGTAAATCAACTCTAGATTTAAAACTATAAAAATCTGGGACGCCTGGGTGGCTCAGTGGTTGAGCATCTGCTTTTGGCTCTGGGCATGATCCTGGAATCCTGGGATCGAGTCCTGCATCAGGTTCTCCGAAGAGCCTGCTTCTCCCTCTGCCTGTGTCTCTGTGTCTCTCATGAATAACTAAATAAGATATTTTAAAAATGGTTTGCATATTTGTTTAAAAAATAAATAAAACTAGGGGCAGCCCCCGTGGCGCAGCGGTTTAGCTCCACCTGCAGCCTGGAGTGTGACCCTGGAGACCAGGGATCGAGTCCCACGTCGGGCTCCCTGCATGGAGCCTGCTTCTCCCTCTGCCTGTGTCTCTGTGCCTCTCTCTCTCTCTCTCTATGAATAAGTAAAATCTTTAAAATATAAATAATAAATAAATAAATAAATAAATAAATATCTTAGAGGAAAATATAGGGCAAAAGCTTCACAACAGGGGGATCCCTGGGTGGCTCAGTGGTTTAGCGCCTGCCTTTGGCCCAGGGCGCGATCCTGGAGTCCCGGGATCGAGCCCCACATCGGGCTCCCTACATGGAGCCTGCTGCTCCCTCTGCCTGTGTCTCTGCCTCTGTCTCTCATTCTCTCTCTGTGTCTTCCATGAATGAATAAATAAATAAAAATCTTTTTTAAAAAAAAGCTTCACAGGGGATCCCTGGGTGGCTCAGCGGTTTAGTGCCTGCCTTTGGCCCAGGGCGCGATCCTGGAGTCCTGGGATCGAGTCCCATGTCGGGCTCCCGGCATGGAGCCTGCTTCTCCCTCCTCCTGTGTCTCTGCCTCTCTCTCTCTCTCTCTCTCTCTCTGTCTATCATGAATAAATAAATTTTAAAAAAAGCTTCACAACACTGGGTTAGGAAATGATTTTTTTTTATATGACACCAAAAGATCCAGGCAAAAAAGAAAAAAGTAAATAATGAAAAATTTAAAAACCTGTTCCTCAAAAGACATCATCAACAGGGTAAAAAAGTAGTCTACAAAATGGGAGAAAATATTTACAAACCATGTATGTGAAAGGTATGGGATTAATATCCAGAATATAATAGAGAATTCGAAAAACTCAACCACAAAAAGAATCACTTAATTTAAAATTAGCAAAGACCTGGGGTACTGGGGTGGCTCAGTTGGTTAAGTGTCTGTCTTTGGCTCAAGTCATGATCTCAGGGTTCTGGAATCGAGCCCTACATTGGGCTCCATGCTCAGTGGGGAGTCTGCTTCTCCCTCTGCTCCTTACCCTGCTTGCACCTTCCCTGTCTCTCTCTCACGCACACATACTCACATACACACACAAATATATTTTTTTAAAAATATTGTTTTAAGGGGATCCCTGGGTGGCGCAGCGGTTTGGCGCCTGCCTTTGGCCCAGGGCGCGATCCTGGAGACCCGGGATCGAAACCCACATCAGGCTCCCGGTGCATGGAGCCTGCTTCTCCCTCTGCCTATGTCTCTGCCTCTCTCTCTCTCTCTCTCTGTGACTATCATAAATAAATAAAAAATTAAAAAAAAATATTGTTTTAATTGGCAAAAGTCTTGGATGGACATTGCTCCAGAGAAGACATACCAATGGTCACTAAGGGTATGAAAAGGATCTCAGATCACTATTCATTAGAGAAATGCAAATCAAAACTATTATGATACTACTTCACACCCAATAGGATGGCTAGTCCTAACAAACAAAACCCCCAGAAAATAACAGATATTGGTGAGGATGTAGAGTAATTGGAACCTTCGTGCATTGTTGATGGGAGTGTAAAATGATGCAGCCGCTGTGGAAAACAGTGTGGTAGTTCCTAAAAAAATTCAAAATAGAATTATCATAGGATCCAACAATTCCACTTCTGAGTATATACCCAAAATAATTGAAAACAGGGTCAGGAAGACATATGTGTACATCCATGTTCATAGCAGCCTTATTCACAATAGCTAAAACATGGAAACAACCCATGTCCGTTGACAGATGACTGGATAAGCACAATGTGGTCTACATATTCCATGGAATTTTATTCAGTTTTAAAAAAGAAAGAAATTCTGACCCCTGCTACAACATGGATGAATCTTAAGGATGTTGTGCCGAGTGAAATAAGCCAGTTACAAAAGAACAAATGGGTGTATGATTCCACTTATATGAAGTAGTTAGACTAGGAAAAATCATGGAGACAGAAAGTAGAATGGTGATTGCAGGGGCCCAGGGGGATTTTATGTTGTGTGCATTTTCCCACAATATACTTTTAAAAATATTTATGCATTTATTTTAGAAATAGCATGAACAGGGGCAAGAGACTCTCCCCTGAGTGTGGAGCCCAACACGGGGCTTGATGTAGGAGCTCCTCTCAGGATTTGATCCCAGGATCCTGAGATCATGACCTGAGCTGAAGTCAGATGCTTACCAACTGAGCCACCCAAATGTTCCTAAATTTTTTAAAAATATAAATCAACTATACATCTACACCAAAGGTTCATGTAAGCCTTCCAAATTTGCTTGGTGCCACCTCCTGCTATCCCTGGGTTTGTTTTTGTTTTGCTTTGTTTTAATTTATATTATGTCAGATGGGCCTAAACAGGCAAGT